TAACACAAGCATTTTTCGACTTATAACGAGAATTCTAATTTGCGAAATCTATTCTCCACTAATGCGTATTCATAATTTTTAATACAATAAAATTACTGGTATTGAAATCAATTGTTCACTACTTGCAATATTACATTGACTTAGCAAATTTAAATTAATTTTCCTCGTATGACTTTGTATAACATGAATTTACACATACAGACATCCATATAGATACAAACATATAAGTTTACACACACGCACACACACACACATATATATATATATATATGTATATATATATATATATATATACAAAAACAAGAATTTGATACTAACTAATGACATTTTTGAGCTTTTCTGCATATATGAATATTTTAAAACATTTTTTTCTAGAATCTAAATTGTTTTGTTTTCTAATAAGTGCAAAAAAATACTTGTGACGCTTTTTTCTCTATGATTTTAACATTAATTAATCTATTGATGGTGTATTCAATTTAGAAATAAAATGATATATTCAACTTTAAAAAAATCAAACATTTAATTAATTAAAAATTTGCTAGTTACTTTATTTGAATTTATTCTTTCTGTCAGAATTCTTATATCATATTTATAAATATATATATATATATATATATATATATATATATATATATCTATATATATATATATATATATATATTTATATATAAATTATGATGAATTTATGTGTCTTTCACTCCATTGATTTTAATTTTTTCATATTAATTTTTATTCAAATTAATCACGCGTTACATGTATTGATACTAATTGTTCGTAATCAGCAACTTCTGTATTAACGTTTGAGTAATTCAATACTGAGAATAAAGTAAATCAAAATTATTTCGCTTCGGTTGTATTTTTGATTATATGGTTTTATGATAGCTATTGTGAAATTAGCTTTTTGTTTAAATAGTGCAGGTGTCCTATCAATATTTTTAAAACCACAAAATTTCTGAAACAATTTTCACGAATTCCATCTTTTAATTTCTAAATTAAAGAATTAACAACTAATATAATTATATGAACAACGTGAATATTATAAATAATAATTACTTATATTTAAGTAAAATATAAAAACGTTTCGGTATATAAGTTTATCAACGTATTTTGTTCTCTATGTTTTTCAATAAATATGATGTTTAACATCTTTTGTGACTGAGAGATAAATTACTTAAATGTTTATTGTCAAATTTAATTCATAGATGTGTAAGTTAGACAAATTGTATTATGATAACTAAATTTATTTTTATCACTAATATCTTTTAATTCAAAACCAATAATATTGACTTTCATAAATGTGACAGAAATACATACAACTATTAATAAAACTTTGCTTGCTACTTTCTACATTCTGCAATTTTAAGAAGAACTTCTATACTATTTGAAGCTTTGATAAACAGCTAATTTTTAAAAGAGGATGATTATTTTCTTTTAATTATGTTTTTCACAGCAAAAATGATTTTACAATTTTAAAATAAAATGTCTCAATCTTTTTAATATGGATCCATTAGTTTATAAATAATATGATCAATATACAAAAAAAATGAATTTATTATGTTCCATTTGTATCTACCATTTTGTTCTTTCAATAACCACCTTAAAATGAGAATCATGATTATATGATTCAAATATAATTTAAAATTGTCAACTAATTAATAATGATAATAACCAATTTAAATAAACATGTAAAAACGTAATAAATATACCGATTACTACACTTGACTATAGATATACAAAATCAATTCAAGTTTTTATGCAATTTTTTATTGATTTACCAAGTATTAATATATATTTTATTAATTAGTATTGCCTGGAATTTAATGGTAAATAATATTGGAAGTTAAAAATATTTTTTTTTAAGTATCATTACATATGATTACGAGTATATATTTATTATAAAACATTTTATACATCGAATAATAATCTACTTTTATTCAGACTATGATGATGATTTTTTTTATTAATATATGTATATATACATATATTATTTTAATTATTTCAAAATTCAATAAATATTATAAATATCATACCTAAAATATAACAATATAACATCAAAGAGCTTAACTTATGCTATGTAAATACTTTTAATTAAGTTATTTAACTAAGCTGTACCCAAAGCATCAGAATTAACGATTTCTTCCAACTTTTCTCCAATTTTTATGTCTGGTAAGTCATCAACATTACCTGTATTTTCAATAACAGATTCAGTCACTGTATTGCTCGTTGTAATTTGCTGAACTGGTTTATCTACCCTGGCTGATACTTGTAATACTTTGCCAATATTTGGTTTATCAACAATTTGATAAGATTTTATTTGCTCATCGTACACTGGGACATAAAAATTAGACATCTGACCTGGAATTGCAGGTTCTATCACTGAAGTTTCTAACAATTCCGGTTGAAGTTTAGAGGTTGTTTTTTCTTGCAGAAGAGACTGGCCAATGTTTTGGTTAGAAACTATTGAAGGTATATTTACGGAAATTTTCTCAGAAGTGATGGATGGTATTTGAGTTTGTATAGTTTGTGGTGCGTTGTTCAGCATTGTTTGTAGTGGCACTTGGTTGAAACTTTCCTGAACTGAAGATATTTCTGCCAGCGGGATGTTACTCAACACATCTTGGTTCTGTGTTGGCTCCTTTACAGTACTTGATTTTTGCAAGACTGGCTCTGAATTTTCTGCATTAGGGGTTTGCTCTACGTTAGAAGTTTCTGTTGTGTCTTGGTCTTTGCCAAAACTTTCTAAATGTGGTTCCACTTTTACCACTTCATCGTTGCTCGCAGATTGTTTGATATCATCATTAGTTTTGTCTTCTATTTCCTTACTAAGATCGTTCTGGTTTTGATCATCATTTGCCAACGCTGAACTATCCTCATTATTACTTCTGTAATAATTTGTTGGTAATACAATGTCTGTTGGTCTTGGTGGTTGCTCTCGGATAACAATTGTTGGATATAGATATGTGTTGGCAGAATCAGTATTATAATTCCTCATAATAACAGGCTTGTACAGAGGTTGCGGGTAATAGTTTGAAGATTCTGGACCGTAGTATTGCTGTTGCGGAACTTGTATATACTGTTTGACAGGTTCTGAATTATAATTTTGAACAGGCCTAATTTGCAGTTGATCTTGCACTTGATTTACAGGTTTTACAAATTGCTGTTGAAAAATTGGTTGGGTTTGAACAACTTGAACATTTTGTTGTTGAGTGTCATAAGTTGTTTGTGGTACATCTTGAGGCGCTGTGTTTGAATCGAAAAATTGAGTATATGTTGGAATCCATAATTGTTTTTTAGTTGTATCTACAACTTGTCTTCCATTCTGATCCTGGTATGTTGGATTCACTATGAACTGCTTTGTTGTATCAAAAACCTGTCGACTTATTTTTGGTTCTGGCAGAGCAAATTGTTGGCTTATATAATCCTGTATTGTTTTAATGGACTGTTGATAAACTGGTGAAGGTTCTTGAATGACCTTTATCGGCTCTTGCATTACTTGCATGGGTTGCTGATAAACTGGAGACACTTCTTGAATAACTTTCACAGGTTCTTGGTAGGTTTGAATTTGTTCTTGATAATTTGGCAATAAAACTTGTTTTGGGGCGTCATAGTAAACATTAGTTGGTACTTGATCTGCAACAACTTCCTTCTGATCCAGTTGATCATTGAAGTTTTTTCCAAGTTCTTGAGGAGCTTTTATTTGTTCTTGGTAATTTGGAATAAGCACCTGTTGCTTATTTGGTTCGTAGAATTCTTGAACTTTGTTGATATTACTGTAGAATTGGTTAGGATCTGGTCGTAATTGTATTTGATGCACATAAGATGGAGCTACATCTTGTTGTATTGGATATGGATCTGGACCAGCAATGAGTGGTTGAGATGGTTCAATCGTTGGATGACGACGTAAACGTATATAATCTTTTATGGTCGATACGAATTTTTTGTCATGCAAGGGATCTTCTAGTCTCTCCATTCCTGGAATATAATTTAAAAAAAAACCATAAGGATGCAAATTTTTACAGGCAAAATAAATAATTTGTGTTGACAAAAATAATTAAAATTTTGTTGCTATGTTATTTGATTTGATTTTATTACTTATCTATTTTATCATACTCATTCTCTATATTTAATTATTATTGTATTTTTCTAACATAAATAATAATTTTAAAAAAATTAGTCCAAAAAAGTATAAATGTGATATTTTTGAAAAAGATATTAGTCATGTTCAAATTCCTAAATTGATTTATTATTTTCTATGCTTAACTGAACACTATTAATAACGCATTATAATTATTATTATTATTAACAATAGTTCTATTATCAACGAGATCTGAGTATATGTTTTTCAATAGTTCACTGGTTTAAATATTATTTAATAATATTTATATTAATATGATAATTTTAATTACCTGTTCCTGCATAAGTTGGATATAAAATATGCCTGCATGGTCTTATATTAACTTTTGCAGCGTTTTCATAGTTTCCTAATTCTTCTTCAAAATTATTATCTGATGATGTTGAATAATAGTTGGCATCTTCTTCCCAGAGTTTTTTATCAGTAAAGTCACTAGTTTTTTCTTCAAAATTGTAATTTTCATTCGCATGAGACGAAATCGAAAAAATTGTTATAAGGACACTCAGGATTATTGGCAACTTCCTCATTGTGAAGTTTTGTTGATATCCAAATAATAAGTATATTTTTTGTCTGAAAAATATATCATAATAAATTTATACATATTTACGATTCATATTAATGATTGACTTTGTGATTGAGTTAATTATTTTTTCTCTATATTATAAAATGAATTTCAATTTTTTTAAGTAATTGCATAACCATAATTATTTCAAGAATATGTTTTTTTAATTTTCTTCTCAAATGTTTGAAGTTTCCACAATTATTTTAATAGGAAAAATTATTATAGGTTTTGTTCTATAAAACTTTTCAAAATATATTGGTGGTATAATTGTCATTGTTTTGTATTTATATCTAAAATTGATATAAAATGCCCTTAAAACTTGACTTAGAAACAAATACATATATGAGCAAAGAAAAAAATCAATGTCAGCAATCACGACAGTATCGCAATCTACTAAACTAATTTCATAAAAAGTCTATTGCATCATATATGCAATATTAATTCAATCTAGCATAGTGTGTGAAATTCTCAGTGAACTAGTTTAATTCACCCATTATTTTATTTTCTAATTTAAATTTGTTAAATTTCATCAATAAAAAAACCTTCGTTCTCAATTTTTTTTCTCGAAAAAGTATCTTTTCTAGATCACTTGAATTTTTCAATGATTGCCATCTTTTCGTAAACTTTCTAAGTAAATATTACATAGTAGGCATAGTTAAATAAGTATAAATACATAATTGATTTGAAATCACAAAAAAATTATTTGGTTCTTCAGAAGAAAAATAAAAAATTCTACACAAATCTTCAGTGGAAAATTGACTTGGAAAATACATCATATAAAATACAATGTAGGCACAAATAACAACTCAATATTTTTGACAGACAAGTCAATTATATTATTTGACTGGTTCTCTTTAAAAAAAAAAATTAAATAAACTATTAACATCGTATTTATCGAATATTGTATTGATTTGCAAACGACTTCCATTTGATGTCTTGCCTTAGTGTTTTTTCACATATTTCAACATAAAAATGATTTATTAAATTCACACATATTTTAACATAAAAATCATTTACTGAATTCACAAATTATAAAAATTATAAAAAAACGACTTAAATGAATACTTTGAATAAATTGAAGTAAAATTTGAGTATAGAAACGAAGTCAATACGTACCCAAATAATTTCGTCCTGTATTCTCTTTGAATTTAAACCACTACTTTGAATTTTTTCTATTTGTTAATTACGCTTATATATAAGCTCGCTGAATTATTTATACTTATAAAGTGCATTTGTTTATTTCTTTCTGTTTTTGTAATATGTTTCCGTATGTTTTTATAAATATGCGTCGAATCTTGTGCAATAAAGGAAAATGATTACAACATATATTTTGTCTAAATAATTACTCATTTACTATTTATGTTCTATTTATATAATTGTTACTTATAACAAGATTTAACTTCAAATATAAGACATTAATTCTTATTTATTATTCAAAATGTAACATTATATTTATATATTTTTTTTGTTTCAGACAAATCAAAGGAAATCCCCAAAAAGAAATAATATCTAAAAAGTGCTTAATTAGTGTTTTGGAATGTATTGAATATCTGAAAGACAGTAAGTTTGATAGTATAATTATGATTATGATTAATAAACAAATACAAAGAAATATTTTAGTATTTGTGTTCAAAGTTCACGTGGAAATGTGTAATAATATATTTCATTTCATCAGAATGATCTAAAACGTGAAAATAAAATAGTGAATTTTTCACCAACGAACATTCTATGTTTTGGATCATTCTGAACTATTTGATAATTATACATATATTCCTTTTTTTTCAAATTAAATTGAAAAATATTATTGATTTTTAGTAATGATTTGGTAGAATATATGTTTATAATTTAAAAATTCATTTCGTATAATAAATGCATTGCAAAAACGTGGGTCAGACTAAGGTCCTACTGCAATTCTATAGTTTTCTCTTGTTTGGTAGTTATCAATTTATAATCATGATTTTATCCAGAAATTTATCATTGTTTTTGTTCTCAAAAACAAATTTCAACCTAAAGCTCAATGTCCATGGCAAACATAAAACAGGAGAATAAACAATAAATATTAAATGAATTCGCAATAAGAAAACAAAATTTAATGTAAATTCTGTTCTGATTCATTACACAGTTATTTTCTATAGAATTCGTCCAAACATGACAATTAATTGCAATTGCTAAAATACTATTTGTGTAATCGCCAAGACAACGAAAATCAATTAATATAATATAATTTTTCTTCTACCAAGCTTAATAGTTTAAAAAAAATTATTTGTTTAGACAATGTCCGTTTATGATTAATTCAGAAAGTAACATGCAAATTATAATAATTTTTACAGCATTACTTTTTATACTATTTTCTCAAAGCAAACCTGCTCTATTGTTATTTCAGTGGCACTTCCAAACATTGTTTAATCATCTAAAAATAATTTAGAAATATTAAATAAACTTATAAAAAATGGTTCATTATGACATTAATTAAAATGAAGAAAAAATATTAAAATTTAATTAGGAACAAAATTTCATTAAGAAAAACTCTGTTGAAAGAATAAAAATTATGTCTTAGGGTTAGTCCAAAATTTTTATAATGGAATTATTAATTGCTATGTGGTCAGAGTTTTTCAACAATATTAAAGAATTGTTATATTTATCAAGATAACCATATGATATTTTTTTTAAATGTCTATGTACACACATATATATTAGTATTTATTAGTATTTCTGCCTTTGTGTGGGCAAATAAATATTAATTTATATGTCAATTTTTTCAGATACTGAGCAGTTCGGCCTGTTCTACCAACTGGGTTCTAGAACAAGAGCTCGAGATATCCTATCTCGAATAGAAAGAGGCGACCAAGACATTTTGCAATCGTTAAGAACACATGGAGGCCCTTTGGAAGTGGCCTCAGCTCTAAAGACATTTTTGGTGGGTCTGAGAGCACCCTTGATGCCTGCCAGGGTACAAGAATTAATAGTCGGTGAGTGAATTTTGCAGACAACGTGATATATCCCAACAACGATGCACATTATTTTTTACTTGTAAATAGAAAATATTATATACACAAAGTAAAATATCATGCCCTAGAGGACAATCGATGCTACGTTGGCAAACTTCTACATATTTCAATATTCTGATATTTGGGAAGCCATTTTCCTTCAAATAATTATTGCAATAATAACTTCTTATTGTATAAAAGCAATATAAATTATTACATTTTTCATTTAATTTATTATCTTACCGTAGATTCAAAAAACATTCGATTCTTATTGATGAGGGGACGTGCTGATTAGTTTTTGGCGACAACATGTTTTGGCGAAAATATGGAACAAAAAAGTGCTTCAAATTTAAGAGAACGAATCAACCGATTTGAATTATCCAAAAAACATTCGATTCATAATGGTGGGGATGGGGAAAATGCTCATATAGAGCTAAATGTGTAAAAAATGTCAATTTTTGAGAGAACTAAGCATGCAACTTTAATGATTTAAAAAACTTTCTGCCTGTGTCGATGAAACGATTGCTTTTGGGGCAAGATTTTTTTTAGATTTTTGTTTTTAATTTCTAAAAAAAATTTATATTAATATCGAAAAATAATTCGGATTTCAATGCTAATTCTAGCTAAAGTTGTGAACATCACTTATATAATTCAAATAAATAATTTTAACTTTGCAATTCAGTTTAAATAATACTTAGAAATATTAGATAATGTTTTTCATTTTAAATTCGATTGATTAAGTTTAAATAAGAATAATGAGGTTATATTATTTATAATAATCTATTTAAAAACATTTAATATATAATTAAATATTTAATATTTGAGTTCCAGCAATTTGTCTTAAAGCTCGATGCCATACACCACTAGTTAGATTCTAGATTCGATTATATCTAAATCTAATTATATAGAGCTTTAGCGAATTTAAATTTAAATTTTAAATAGATTTTACAGTAATTCTTTGTTCATCACAGTATATGTGTCATAAATCTTGAAATAAATCTTTACATTCATTACTTTTACTTATCATGTGATGTTACTACTGTGCAGCATTTGAAATTTAAGATGAAGAATTTATAATAAAGTCACTTTAAAATTATATAATCAAAATTGAAACTCACATGTGTAGTATACGCAAAACTAAACAGTTATCAAAATATCATCCGTTAAAATGAACCGTTACTTGAAAGTTTTATCTCTGAAAAAGTTGCTGGACAACTTGACGGTATTATTGACAACTGATAAATCATGTGTATTTACGCTTAGTTATTTTATGTTTCACTAATATATACAAAAAGAGTTGACATTGTTTTTAAAATATAAAGCATCAATGCCGTTGACAGAATTGGGCTTTGGGGTTTGTTAACCTTTTGATAATAATCAAAGCAAATGAATTAACATAAATAGATTCATACATGTTTTTTTATTTAACGTTGGTATATATTAACCAGCAGACTGTGGCGCTCAGAATATTCCTAAAATTATATATGTGTCGTCCGAATCGAGCTAATGATGAGTAGATTTGTCAATCATAGAGCAGTATTTCTTGGTAATTTTGGATAAGAAGATGAATTTGTCGTACAAAATTGAAAAATGTCAGTATAACATGTCACTTATTTGTTAACGTTAGCATATATTACATTCATTTTAAACTAAAAATGGATTAATTGCAATGAAATATTATACGTGTAATTGAAAGAAAGTAGGAATAGTTTTTGATGGTAAGCTAAAACTGTTTCAAAATTAAGCAGTAGAAAATGTTATCTATCGTTACAAGAAATATTGGGGTTAGGAAATTGGTTAGGATTAATCTTAAAAAGTATGTTTTTTTAATAGAAATAAAACCAAACATTTACTTCTTATGTCAAAATTTCGATCATTTTCATTGAATTGATCCATTATTTCAGTTATGGCAGACAAACTCCTTTTTACAAACACCATCGAAAGGTCTTTTTGGTCTTCCTGTGAATCATGGCTGTCAACATTTTTGTTTTTTTCTTATTCAGCTAATTTCTTGAGCTCATTATTAGAAAGACTGCGCTGCTTCTTGAATTATTTCAATCAACATCTTCACCCACACTTACTCCACCTTTACCATTTCAAAATCTGGGTTGAAATAAAAGAGCGCTAAACCGACACAGCGCTAAACGAAACAGCATATTACGCGGGGTATTTCTGTTTTTTTTTCAAAAATTTTAATTGAAATCGGAAATGGTGATTGTTTTATATGCATTACGAATATAGGCATCTAAACACAAATTTTGGCCTCTTGAGCCTAGTTGTCTAAGTTGGATGATAAGTAAATTCCAAAAACAGCATCCAAGCTAAATGAATTTGGTAATGGGTAGAGCGGAGCTTAAAAGTCCGCTAATAAAAAGTTTCACCGATATCTCAAAAAAGTAAATTTAAGAATATTTTAAAAACAATGTTTGAAATATTGTTATTTTTTGAGCTAAACAAAATTACCCATGATGCTAAATACTTAAACATACGTAATTGATCTGAAAAAAAATTTATATACAAAATTATTTTCTCATGAACAGTGTAAGTGTATTATCAACTTTGTTTTTATTTGCTGTATTTGGAATTGGCCATGTATAATTAACGTATAAATAAATCGAATTCTTCTCGATTGTAATTCATCATTCTGTCAATGTTAGCCAACACTGTCTACTGATCCATGATTAGTAAAATATATAAATACAAGTGTTAATTATTGTTCCAATATTTTGCTAGCCGACAATGCAGGCGTCTCCACGCGTACGGTGGCCTTAGACGCTCTAGGACTGCTCAGCCAAGAGACTCCGTCCAGCAGGCAGAGGACGTTACTTTTGTCTCTTTTAGGACTGTTGCAAAAAATTAGCAACAACGCTAATAGTAACAACACCCTGGGCGAACTGGAAGGATCGCATGCTGCACTGGTCATGCTTCCAGTCTTTTTCAACTTTACGGTAAAAAAAATTATACATCACTTTTAAAGTTTGAATATAGAAATTGATAGTGGATAAAATAGTTATCGTATCAATGATCATTATATTCGTCATAATTTTTCTCTAATTACGTTTATTATTATATTTTGATATACTTATATAATGTGCATTTTATATATTGCGTGGCCATTATTATATTTTAGTTATATACTCATATACTAAGACCTGAAAATTCCTACACGTGCACTCGAGAAGGTCTTAATTATTTTTGTATATTCTTATTTTGTATGCATTTTGTATATTGCATGGTTATTATTATATTTCAGTTATATACTCATATACTAAGACCTGAAAATTCTTACAGGTGCACTCGAGAGTCCCTTAATTATTTTTGTATTTATATGCTTATTTTGTATATTGCATGGCAAAGTTATGTTTTAGATATATACAGATATATTAAAACCCAAAAATCCCTATAGATGTACTCGAGAGTGCCTTAATTATTTTTTATATGCTTATTCTGTATGCATTTTGTATATTGCATGACCATTATTATATTTCAGTTATATATTGATACACTTAGAATTGAAAATCCCTGCAGGTGCACTCGAGAGTATCTTAATTATTATTTTATATGAAATATATAGAGATCGCATTTGTGACAATGTGAGATTTTAGAATCTAGAGCTCCGTGGGGTTAGTTATTTTTGAAAACAGAAGAAAGTGATTTAATATTATAGAGTTTTTCCAAACACATTTTTTCAACTATGTATTTTTTCTGACTTCATTGTGTAATATTTAATATATTTAAATGTTACACATCTTCTTATAGTTTAATAGCAAGAAAGAACTTTTATTTTTCATTAAATTATAATCTGTCTGAAAAAGCATTCAGAAATTTTGGTGACTAATATGTAGAAATTAAAATGGTACCCAGTGATGGTTATTTTATTTTAAATTTGAACATTGAATCTATTGGTTTTCTAAATTTTGAGTCTTATAGATGAAAAAAGCAGATTTTTAGCAAGTTGATTTAGATGATTTTTCCATCTAGCCTTGGACTTTTGCAAGTCTTCTAATTTCAAGTCTTTTGTCAACGTATACAAATTAGAGTCTTGGCGGATAAGCCAATTTGGGTCATATTTGGGCGTCTCTAATATTTTTTATAAAATTTTTATATTGGTTTAACTTATCAAGGAAGATCTAACGGATATATGGATAACAAAAATGATTAGATAATCGACTTCTTGTTTTCTACATACGAATGCTCTCTTATTAAACAAATGATCTGTGATCGATTGCTATTTCTTGGTAATCAGAATTGCAATTCTATGAAAACAGTTAGGTTTAATATCTTGTGCATTATTTGGTAGTCGTTCTCTCGAATTGAAAATTGAAAATAGTAATTTCAAAATAATTTAATTATTACAATGATAAAACTATTTATATTACCTATTAATTGTTTTTATTAAAATACGTGTTTTATTATATAATATTCGGATTGATTTTGTTAATGAATTAGGTAATTATATAAACTAAGCTGTATTAAATGCATAGTAAATCTATTTTTCAGAACAATTAAATTTCAAAATTATATCAGTTTTTATTATATCAGTCGATCTATCTAATTAATCTAATTTAAATTCTAAATCTAAAATAATTAACATAATTTTCTACTGAATAATCTAAATGGAATATGAATAGATACTCAGTAGATTAGCAAGTATTCAAATTGGTATTATACCTTTTTTTTTTAATTTGACTTTTTGCCGACACCGTAGTGAGTGTGTTGGTCATGGAACAGTATTTTCGAAAAAAATTTATATTGGATGTCACGGCTATATCTTTCTTGATTAAGAGAAAATACTCGTTGAATACTCAATTAATCTATACATTTATCATAATTTGATTTTTTATCTATCAATAAACTCGATTCTTTTAGGTGGATGTACTGCCACACTGGAGACGAATAGCCGCAGTTTTCAATGAATTATTAATATGCGTCCCAGGATTAGATGATCCAGAGAACTCTGACAGCATTATACGTACATTGGCGGTAATTATTTATTTTTAAATTGTTTTGATATAGTTCTGACTAATTTGAATATACAATTAAATGACGCATAACCTTGAATTCATTATTGAATCATAGTTAATTCAATTTTATTAGTAATGAAATAGTGCCCTATATATTATTGCATTTGAATCCAAATTAAGCGTTCAAAAATGTACTACAAAATATCTCCTGGAACATGTGGAACATGTTATTCCACGATCAGCTGCTCTCTTAGTTATGCTTAATTGTAAGTTTAAATGAGCTACTTTTTTTTGACTAAAATTTCAAATGTTGATTCTTGTGTTCTTATCGATTATGATTAGATTTTGCAAAGAATTGTCGTTACTAAATTTATTTTAAATTCTCAGTAGAATCTAAATAGTGGTACATGAATAAAAAAATAATTATAAATATTATGAGTTTTATAGTAGTTTATAATTATCGCGATAATATACTGGTTTAAAAAAGCTACATAAAACACTGATATAACGTATTATTCATAACATAAAATGATTTGTTTATAGATATTTAATTTTTGTACAAAATTTGTGAAAATCATTAGTGGTAGTAAATATAGTTTCAGAGGATTTGTTTCATAGTAGAGTACATATAGTACATTTTATGTAGTATATATGCACATTTAGATTATTGCATTACATAAAATGCAGCAAAGTTAGTCGTAAGTTATCAGTTATTTATACTATATATAGTGCACTAATCTTTAAGTATCTACTTATTTCAATGGTATCGTCTGAAGATAAAAATTAGTCATGTAACTTTTTCAAAATTTTAAAATATACTGTGTTTTAAATAGTTGATAGTCGCACATCTATTGTATCTGCAATATGTGAACATCTAAAGATGAGCTTATCATATCCGAAGCCGGATCGGTCAGGATATTACTCCACTTCAGAGAAGAGTTATATCCACTTAACAACTCCACAACTCCGACAACTTTGAAACATAATATTTGACACAAATGTGTTCTCTTGTGTGTTGTTAACAGATGTAGATTTATTAAGACTTTGGAAATAGTTTACAAATAGTTCAAACATTTTTGTTCATTTTATTATAATAATTACTTTTTTATGCATTTCAATATGCATACAAATCTCAAATTGACAAAAAAACTTGGGAATAAAAATCAATTTTGAAATTAGTTTTGAAGAGAAAATTTAGATTTTTTGAATATGTTTATTTTTATATGAAAATAAAGCAGTGCACCTTATATATGAAATAAGAACAAATTTTTGTGTATGATATTTTTCACAAAATAGTAATACCTCACATTCTTTTATTATTTCTTTTTCGAGAATTAATTATACATCAGGTAGTTTGATGAAATCATAATTGTGTAAAAGTTATGATATAATACTAAATATTTTTTAGTATTTGTATACCATTGAAAGAGCTCATTTACGGACAAACATTATCGCATACAGAATATAAAACAGGACAAAATAGCATTATTTTGAGACATTATACACCTGGAAAGTCCTAAAACTGGCTGTGAGACACATTTAGCTCTGAATCTTCGAAATGCAGCGGCCTGCCTTTGCCAAAAACTAATAACCACTTCTCCCAATCATTGCTAATTGAATGTTTTTTTAGATCATTCAAATCGGATGCTCCGTTCTCTCAAAAACTCGATTTCTATTTTCTGCAGTTTAGGGAATTCGGATATGACAAATCCTGTGAAACAACTCCACTCGGATTCACTCCGAGGAAGGAGTTGTATCGCATTGATAACTCCGGAGTGAGTTACCCATCTGTAGAACGTACTATCAATGGACAAACAGTTCACATTTAAATTGCGCCTGAAAATACCTTAATCAATTATTCGTTTTTTATCCGTGGTATATTGGTTGCAATGAATGTGGGTTGACAGAATTTGTATTGTAACTACGGAATACATTCAACAAAGAATGATTATTTTACCATTTTATAATACCAACAATTAAATTATCATATGAATGATTAATAAATAATACTTTTTTTTAGGAGCGACCTAGTGGCGATTTGAGCATTGACATTCAACCTATACCTGATCCATTGGTTCGTGTGCAGGATCAGTACAGGCAATTGCGACAAAATCAGCAGAACAACAACGCTATCATTAGTATGGGTGAGTGATATTTGCTAAATTGATAAATTTATTTATTTAGAATTTTACATAAAATTTGGACTTATATTTCACATACAAAATCTCCTCGCCAGCATATCAAGTATTTAATAGAAAAGCGTTTGAAATCTTAAATTGAAATTGTTTTATCTTTCTCTTAAGGTGTCTATTAATAAAAAAACGAATGGAACACTTTTGCTTATGTACAACAATGCCAATAATAATCGATGTCTATTTAAGATACCCTCAGTTTATTGCAAGTTTTACATGTACACACTGCACAAAAAAAACTATTACTGGTCACATATAGACTTCTTGAAAATATGAAATTACATGTTGTTCTATAATTGTAATATCTCTGTGGGAGTTTGGCTATTATCTTGGCTTATTTCCTTAACAATGGCAAAAAAATAATCAAATGAATGCTACGTATCCTACTATATAAATCCTATGTATCTTATTTTTCCATATTAATCCTTCTCCTAATCCACTCCTAAATAGGCGAAGGCGCATTCTTACCACCTCCTTTATACCCCAGAGTGTTTTCCAGGGGTCGTCTGCACCCTGTCATTAGAGGAGGGACTAATGCGTCCATGGTTCATCATCATGAGCGACCACATACGCATACAAGAACTGTCAGTGCCACTAGGTAGCTGATGGTCCAAAACTATTGTATCACTGTTAGTATTACCAAAGTGATTAGGAAAGAACCATAGAACTACATAAGATAAATTAAGGATACTGCAAACTGATATAATTCATCACAAAATGTGCAAAATTTTGACCAAGCTGAAATATCCGTAATGATATTGTCAAAACCAAATCCTGGAACAAATACAGTTACATATACAAGCTTATAAATAGGAAGGAAAACTCTGGCATCATCTAAACTTGATAAGACAGAACAACGTTTCTGTTTCTTATTTTTGATCACAATTCCTCATGGAAAACATTTTGAATTCGAAGAATATGTCGGCTTAATTTGAAACATTTATGGTATATTATTCAATGCAGTACATAAAACCTTCGCCACAGAATTATCTGCTAGCAATGAAATAAATGAGAAATTTTTCTCATTCGTCTTCCAAATCACTTCCAGTATTACTAGAGATACATATCTTTTCAAATAACAATATATTTATTAGCGTTGTCCACAGTAACTAAATTCTTGCATTGTGCATGAGTAGCGTGAAATTGGATACCAACATCATCAGAATTAATCGGCAAACTTGCTAGTTTGTCAGCAACTCCGAAACAGTGTTTTCAGCAAAATCTCAAGCTGGGCAGTTCTTACATGAAAGAATTTTATAAAGTTAAGAACGCTATTAAATATATTGTAAAGAAAACCGCAATGTATTTGCAATATGCATTGATAAAAAAAATCAAAACGAAATAATAACAAAATCACCCAAAAAATTATAAAATAAATATTAAACACGGCACATGCAGATTGGACAAAAATTGAAGACAGTATGTTTTTCGGTTGATTTAATGGAAAAAGGCAATATTACTGAATCAAACACATCACAAATTTAAATAAACCTATCCTATTAGCAAACTGTGAGAACTAATATAAACAAATCCGTACACCGAGCTATTTTCAAGTATCAAGCGTTTTTTGATCTTGAATTCTAAATGCATTTTATAATTTCCTCATCACAGCAATTATGTTATAATTTTTATTTATGTAACATTTTTCCATATGTATCTGAATGTTGATTATAATTTATTTTGAATGAGTGCTTGTATGAATGAGTTTTATTACTTCTATAAGTATTAGAATAGATATTAAACATTTTGTTTAACTTAAAACAACACTTCTGAAATTTACAAATAAAGGCTTTTGTCTCGAAATTATTCGTAAATTGAAAAGTTGTTTTTCATAAGAGAAAAATGATTGAAAACGCGATGATGAAAATTATAACTAACTTTTAGTTTTTCTTAACTTTTCTATATTCAACGAAACGGGTAGATGATGAACTACATATAGTGAACCTACAAAAGTGAAGAAATTGAGATGGTAATATTTGTAATATTATTTAATTAATTATGGGCGTACTTTATAGTAACAATATTAAATCTTCTTGGCTTAAATAATATAGGTCTTACTTTCATTATTCCTATTTGCTATACTTTATGGAATTATGTTGGAAATATTTGAACATCTATATTATTCCTTTTGGTATCTTTTTTTGGTATTTTTGGTATATTTTTTGTGAATAAGTATTAATAAAAACAAATTTTTGCACATTTGAATAGCGTTATGTATATTTGAATAGTTTTAGCTGAACCAAAACTTTCCAGGATACAAATAAAATCATTAATTAATTTCTAGTAATTCTTTCTGCAAATTAGTCGGGGATTTTGAATTTTGCATAATTATCTATTTTATAAAACTAAATAAGAATTTATGATTGTCATTTTTCATGAATTGAGATAAGGTAATTTTATTTGAAGCCAGTGGAATGTAAATAGGATGTGGGATGCAAACTTCCTGATTTACAACAAATATTTTCCAGTAATAAAACATTACAAAGCTCTGATATTTACTCAAAAATTCATACTGTTATTCATGATGATCGAATAAATGCTTATTTTGATATTTATAGATTTGCTGTCATACTTCATGCTTGCAATTCTGAAAATGGTTAACTAAAAACTAAGAAATTTTTTTATCGATCTTGCACGAATTTCATTTGCAGTAAATACTAAGTTCTACGTAAAATTATTTTTATAACTGTTCAAAGTTTTAACTGTCGATCATGAAGGAACAATTCGTGTAATAATTTTTTGTTCAATGTTGATCAAGGCGATTCTCAATAAGTTAGTTAGTTTTAGAAAAAAAAATAACGAAAGCCATATACTGAAATTGTATTTATAATTAGTCTTATCAAAAATAATTATAATTCGAAAATAATAGATACAGATTAATTTAAATGAACCTAATTGGGTAAATAATCTATAAATTGATAATAATCCAATAATTAATCAATCTTAAAATGTAACTTGAATGCTGCAATAACTAGTTTAATAATGATTATTACTACAATAATTAACAATTTGTTCATTAAAACTAATACGAATACTAATCATCCAATATAAAAGTTAACAGCAAATTACATTTATCTTCTCATTACTCATTTTACAAGGAAAGTGTACAAACTGAAATATATACGTTTCTAATTATATAAGCATTATTTTTAGAAGCATTTCTAAATTAATTGCAGATCTATTATATTCTCCGAACAAAAATATTTGTTAGCATTTCCAAAAGATGTGAAATTTCAACAAGTATTTTCTGAGAAATATTTACCTAAGAAGTAAATATTTATACCGCTTAAAATAATCGTATGTCTGATCCAAATCATTGATGCACATTTCTTGGATAAAATAACTATAAAATTTGCAAAATTTAGTATATAAAATTAAAATTAGTTGAAATAGTCTAACTGAAATATCTTTGTGATGATTAGAAATGCATTTTAAAGTACCATTTATGAACAAATATGGCTAAAGACAGAGATGAGATAAAACAACAATAATAAGGTCATGTTTCACTTTCTTTGTGAAAAAGTTTTATTGTTATTCAGTTTTTTATTTGTTATTAAAATATTTTTAACAATTTATATCAATTCTGATTCTCTTCAAAATCATTTTTAAAACTATATTTTTCTGTAAGACACGTCGTTGCGTTATAGAGTTTCTATTTGACTCTTTTCTGTGACGATATTATTATATATGATGAGTTCGATCAGAATTTACATATAATTTAGTTTCACTCATGCCTAAGCAAATTTATTTCTAAACTATCACAAATATAAAAAAAAATGATCGTGACCGTCGATCGATAATCACAAAAATGCTAAGATATTCTATGACTTGTTAAATACTTAACAATTTGTTATATAATATGTAAAAAATGTGTATCATTGCTAATTCAAAATAAGCATACAAAATTTACGTGACGCAATTTCAAAATAAACAAAAATTATTCTGCGATCGTTTTAAACGAATATTTGAAGATCACGGAATCATTTGAAGATATAAACCGATACGGGACATTAATACAACTTGTACCAATTATTATACCAGGAATAATAGATTTTTTCAAAGTTCTTTATACTGGGGTTCTTATAAGATAATTTTATTAACAATGAAGAATTGCGCCAGGTTTATGTTGTGTTTGAGTACCGTCTTGGTACTAATTTTATACGTTGCATCGGTTCCTCATACTTTTTCGTGTCAAAATATTATCCAAGTGACAAATTCAGATGGTAAGTACAATAAATTTTTACATATACATATTTTAATTATAATTATTTTATTGCACATTTTTAGTAGTTTAAAATAATCATTTTTATTAATTTGATATTCCTTTACTAAACAAGGAGATTTTCGCACTTTACCAAAAGGCATCATTATTTATTGTTTTGAACCTACCTCACTTTATCTAACGTTATTACCGTTATGCATTATAGTGAGACCAGCTAGTTAAAATATAATGAAGTATAAAATAGTGCTCCTTTAGGCAATATGCTCTTTTAGTTATCACCTAAAACCTTCATCACTAAACTTCACACAAGTTTGGAGCACACGGACCTACCGTCGAGCAGACCACTCATAATTATTTTTATTTGCCATATACAAATACGTCAAAATGCTTGTAATATCTCTATTCAGAAATGTATCAACAGATTTAGTCTTTTTTATTTTAATAGCTCGTAGCGTAGCTATCTATTTCCTTATCAATGTCTCGTAGTATCGAAATCTGAAGACGTAGAGATTACTGAATTGGAACGTCATGTCAATCTATTATATAAATTTGCCGCCGAAGCAATTAACCAGTTAACTGTGGAGCACTCATATAAATGTTTTTATTTCGTCAATCATAGAGTAAATTGCACTGGTAAGACGACGGATGAAGAAGATGGGTTAGTTTTATAAACTAAAAGTTTTATCACTAATTTCCAGATATCTTGTTAAAATTAGCATCTATTCAACACGTGTTAAACTAGAAGGAGTAAATTCAATTAAATGTTACATATAGACACATATCAAATTCTTGTTGCAAACTGATTCTACTATATACAATGAGGGTACTATTGACAGTGAGACTTTGTAAATCCAGTTTTTGTAGTTTCATATATTTTTTTGTTCTTGTAGTTTCATTTATTACGTATAGATCTAAAGAACATTATCATCGCACATAACTTTTTATTCCTATGCAAACTGTTAAAGATTTTTGTAGCAGTTATGCCATCTGGCAACTATGAGGACGAATAAAAAATTTTTATAACAGGATAAAACCTCCTACCGGAATAATCAATTCAAAATTAACTTTAGCAAACAAGCTTTCTTACCATTTTGGACATCAAGAAGAAATAAACTAAATGGCTTGAATTATCCAACTCTATATTTGATATTTAGATAACTCAACATTACAAGTTGAAGATTACTTAAAAGTTATCATAACAAAACGTTTTAATGTTAAATAAAAATAGACAGCGTTCAAAAAGAATTCTATTATTAATTTGATTCAGTAATTGTAATTAACCCTATTACACAGGGCATACCAGAACACATTGCATCATCCACAACTGTTTATCGAGAATTTATTGAAAATTGAATGTATTTGGGACTGGGTACGGTTGTGTCAGGGTGCGGTAGTGATAGTCGTCGTAACATCTAAACAAACCTGATTTTGAGGGAAAAGATGTAGTATATTTAATTCCATTGTTGCATTCAGTTGGAACATCCTATATTAACATGATCTGTAGACCGAATTTCTTTCAAAGAATCAAAAGTAAGGTTGATTTTAATTTATTTTAATTACTGTTACTGCTATATAGATAAATTATGAAATAAATTTTATTATTATTTTGCTGTAATTGAACATTAATATTTATTTATCAGCAACTAGTTTTTTGCGTAGACCATTTTTTTCGATCATTTTTGGGTTGTGACAAATTTTGTGGGCCCGGTTGTGGCATGATTTTAATGTCATTTTTTGGTCGAAAAACTAAACAGGTAAAGAATATTATAACTGAACTAAAACTAAATGATGGAGAGAAGTAGAAAAAAAGATTACTAATTAAATAATCAAAGAAAGATTAATTGGCATCATTTTCCGATCAATTTATTTCTTGTTAACTTTGTTTTTTAAAGTTATGCTTTGTTATATTACATTCATAACGTTGTGACTGTTTAAATGATTATGTAGTATTATGTTACATATTTTTGACTATAAAATATTATTTTTAACCCTCCGTCGGTCGGATATTTTTTCACCTTCAAATGGTCGGAAAGGTCTGGCTGGACCACCATTCATTTTACGTGCATTTATATGGGATAAATGAGTTTTTGGTGTCTTATGTATTAACGATTATATAAAAAAATCAAGAAATATAAAAAAACGTTGCTTTTTTTGTTAATTTTTCTTTTTTAAATCAATGAAAAACAATATTTATTCTTTTTGGCGCCTTTGAAATGAATGTGTGCATTACTCATCCGATTTTCAGTGTTTGCGATTACCAATAAGTTTGGTAGGTTTTCAAGGAACTCTTGTCATGAAAATACTAACATTCATGTTAGAACACATAGCAAAGAATATAAACAACGCAGTTTGAATAGAAAATACCATGAAAAAAGACAAAATACTGGTTTACATATATCGAAAAAGCGTATATTTCATACAAAATGTATGGGTGGTCTAGATAGACAGACCTTTCCGACCGTTCGAAGTATAAAAAAGTTAATATCCTTATAATTATCCTTCTGTACATTTTTTCGTCCTGATTTTTTCATTGATCGACAGCTAATGAAATTTTAGGAAAAGTCAAGAAATTTCAAGTCGATAGGATTACTAGAAGTTTTTTTTTTTTAATTGAAGTCGAAAAAAGTCTGGCCAGACCACGCCGACCGACGGAGGGTTAACGCATGTTTATGTCTGTCATAGTTGTCTTGGGGATGTGGTCGTGACACTCGCACTTTTTTTGTCTGATTTTATTTTATGACCATCATATTTAAGGACAGTATTTTTTTGCTGACAAATGTTCAAATCACCTATATTAATTTACTTATCTCCCAGCTTAATGGTAAATTAAAAAAAAATATTACTGGTTAAGAAAAGTGGCACAACAGTACCCAGTCCACTCTATGTTCTCTCTCTCAAAAATTGCAAATAAATAGTCATTAGTTACTGCATACTAAGTAAGTGAGTATACTCGCATATTCACAGTTAACTGGTTAATAATGTATCTTATTACGTTCGTGCACACTAAATTTTATTGAATAACCATAAAGATCTAACTATCCATATATCCTTTGGGCTTCCGTTAGGATATGACTTAGTATCGGTCGGAATACATAGGTACCGCTAATTCACTTTTACCGTTAATTGAACTTGAGACCTACGTGTCGCAAGCCTTAACCGCTTGACCGCAAGGGGCTGACCTCGGTCCATCGGTATCGTCAAATGTCAGCATCTCGGGTTTTCAATGGATTTTGCATGAGAAACGAAATTATTATTAACCGGTTGTGAAAGAAGTAAATCATATCAGAGAAATTATGCAAGTGCGGTCAGAAATAATGTAAGAAACTAAATTAATGAATTCTTGCAGATAAATACATTACGTTTCCTTTTATTATATTTATTGATTAAAAAAGTGCTAGTCGATGTTTTATTGTATTTTATTGCATCCAATTTTTCATTAAATTTATTATATTTTATTAACTCTATTGTATTCGGACTTACAATTAATGAATAATGAAATTAAGTTCTTATAATTAATGAATAATGATGATAAGTCAAATACATTGTTTCAATATAATTCATTTCTATGATAAATCACTAACTTGAAAATGTTGTGCTAGTCATTGCTTATAAAATAATTGCCTGTTCTCTGTTCAACAATGTTTTTTTTATATAAATTGCATTTATTAAAAACCTATTATTTGATTAGATTTTATTGAATTATAATAGATTACGAGAATGTATACAATGCTTTAGATGACAAAAAAATTATAAGATTTAAAGGTAAATTTTACAAAATCCTAAAATAGTCGTTAAAGAAATAGGGGAAGTACGGACAAAGTGGCATGGTATTCTGCTTTTTTAAATATTATTTATTTATTTAATGACACTCTAACCAGTTTCAATCGTTTTTACTCATATTTGTATATGTATCATCAGTCTATTAATAATGTAGGAACTATAATAACAAATTTCTTATTAAGAAAAAATGCAACCAATTACAAAACCATTTTGTCATTATAGTATGGGCAAAATGATATATGGGATAAGAACATACTGAAATGCTAATTTTTAAGTGTGCATTTTTTGGGATAACAGTACATGACGCCTTAGCCTAAAGGGAACAAATCACCAGATTCAGAACTATAAAAGAAATACTTTCAATAAATGCAAATCTTTTCTTTTTTCTAGTGGTGTTTTGGCCGGTGTTTGCGCAAGTCTTTTCTTCTTTTAGTGGATTTTTTGCTCTGTTTTTAGAAGTAGTTAGAGTAGAAGTTAAAAACCAAGCAATTTTGTCAGGTTTCAATTCTCCTTTTTTGCCTCAAATGAACTACCATGTAGTTGCGATATTGTGCTATGTCTTTTATCCATTGAATAAGTATGTCATTTTATTCAAAAATGGTAAAAATGAATAAATAAATAAAATTCGATCAAACACGCTTTATATAATTGCAATAAAATTGATCAAAATCACTAGTACTAGCGTAAGTTCATTGATTTTAATAGAAATAATTACAAATAACAATGAATAAGTCCCAAAAATTATAACAAAACCACCTTTAAAATATTCTTATGAAATCGCGATACACATTTGAACTAATTACTTTGAAAAAATGTGACAATGACGCTCAACATCTGACCCGATGGATTTCTTTGTGTTTCACAATCGCGTAAATGTTACTAAAACTACCTAATTCTTACATAAAGCCACTTTGTCATTTTATTCATATATACCATTTTGTCCGTATTTTCTGTATCCATTATAAGTTTAATGGTATCTTATACAAAGGAAAGGAGATTCGACCTATGTACCTTGTTCAAGCTAATCGAGCATATTGCCATTACGGACATGTTTTCCACTATTTCCGTATTTTATCAAAAATAATATTTATTTAAATAATAGTAAATTTTAATGATATACATTTAAAAATAATAGTAAATAATAATGAAACATATGTTCAGTTGAAATACAACTTAAAGTTCTTCCATCTTTAAACATGTTTCCATCTCCTGTGTTCCTGTAAAACTAAACATGTTTCCTTGGTTCTCTTGGAAGCTCCAATCAACTAACTTTATTACATATATATTAAAATATTCAATTACCGAAAAAATCAATTTAGGAACGACTAGCCGAAGATGCAGCGGTTGGGTTCGTTTATCAATTAGCGATCCAAAGCAGCAAAATAATGAAAATTCGAAGAACAAACCAACTGATCCGAATAACAAAGAAAACGAAGGTTCAAAACCAACTGGCTCTACAAATACTGGAAGCTCTCAAGGCAATACTCCAAATAAAACTAATGCCAATCATAATGGTCCCCAATCGATTGCAATTATAGATGTTCCCATCAATTGCCCCGAAGGTTTTCGACCAGATCCTAGAGGAATTTGTAGAGAGAGTTTTTAAGAAACAGTTTGTTATAAGTGATCTTACATTTTATAGAATTGTAATATTTTAAAATATATTTATGTAAATAAAAAATGTTAAAAAGTGTCAAAAACTAACTTTGTTTTATTGATTTGGCAAAACAGTAGCTTCTTTGTTATAAAAGTAGATCTTTTGCCATATCGTTGGATGATGAATGTATAAAATGTTCAAATATATCAAAATATATCAAATTGGAATGACTATTGCAAGAAAAAACATGTTACAATAACACGACAATCTTACACATTTTTCATATAATATTTTCGATAGGTTATTTCCGACTGCCTTACTATCATTTTACATCACCGATTTAATTATAGATACTTATTTGATACTTAGCAAATTATATTTAAATACTACTTATATTATTATAATTCCTGCAATTACTATAAATGATTTCATTGAATGGAAATTACATCCGAACACTATGTGATTCATGTAATAATATTAATAAATTATTATCAGCTTGGTTTTTTAGCTTCATTAAACTTCTGATCTGTAATCATATCAGCGCTATGGACTTCCCACTCTCCCTATATGATGAATCACACGAAATTCCTAATTATAATTATATAATATTTTAATTCCAAGTACAATCATATTGGTATCATGCAGCATCGATAAAGTATATCCTTTGAAAATTTAAAATAAAAATTTAATTAAAATTATCCATTAAAGTATGACTGTTTTATGAAGACTATAAATCCCATACAAGGAGCTTTCCTAGAATTGAGTTAAGTTCATGGACCCTTTTATTATAAATATCATAATCAATCATTGTTATATCATGCTACGCTAAAAGTAATTACATTTTGTTATACTTTATCACCAAAAAAATTAATACTTTGCTGGTTCTTTGAGATACTTACTTAAGAACATACATTGAGCAATTAATATTAGTAGAAGAAACTTATATCTTTTTGTTTTTTAATTGTACTATTAATAATTGTTATTAGAATACTTGGAATGGATGAATCCGTCAACTTAATATAATTCTTAGTAATCATTAACACTAAATTTATTTGATATAGTAAACGTTTGAATAAGAATAATGCATGTGTGTTACGTAGTTATGAAATTTATTAAAACTCTCCTTCGATAACTCAGATTGTTGGGAATTTGGGAATTTAACCCTTGTAGCTGTGGACTGTATTAAACACTGATTTGTTGATATATTATGTATTTGTTGCAGTTCTTATTACAATCACTGATTTGTCAATGATGAAAGAAGATATATTTATTTATTATTTATTACACATGTTGTCTGGCGGAATCTACTTTTAGAAGTGAACAATTAACCATATTAAACTATCCGCTACCTCCACCAGGGGTAGCAAGCATCTCGTGTAAAGCTCAATGCCATGAAGATTGTCACCTTCATGACCAATATAATAAAACGAAATTACGTCCGAACAAATAAGAATTAGAATAAGAAAAACTAGTTGGTACTGATGGTACTTACGTTTTTTATGGATGCATTAAGAACATCAGCTTCCTTTTATTAAATGAGTTAAAATTAAGGGACATCAGTATTATAGTAGAACTTAACCCATTCGCTGCCGAGCCTAGAAGAATCGTTGTAAAATTTAAAACATATTTATAAAAATAAATTACCTACTATCATTAATACCATACAGGTGTGTATATATAAGAGTTTGTATGTGTAGTGTAACTCTACCAATGACCAAATAATTTATAATCAATAATTCACACCCTAGGACGTGCGTACAGGTGATAAATGCCTAGCACTGGCGCCTGTTATTAATTACCATATGTTTATCTTTCATTTGTAATAATATTGGAATTTCGCAAATTAAACTTGGTCATACTTTCTAAAATACGTGCAAAGTATTGGATCATAGTGCACGTATAAAAGAGATAAATTGACCTAGCCAATTCTTATTACATCTGTATATATATATATATATATATATATATATATATATATATATATATATATATATAGCTTTATTACATGTGGAGTTCCAGACATGAATGAATTACGTCATAAACTTTATCTCTAATAGTAGAACATATTTCACAAATTTCTGTAATCATCGATATATATATATATATATATATATATATATATATATACATATATATACATGTATAGTATCTGATTGGTATATGTAACATGACGTATTATTCTTCACCGTCATAAAAATACTATCATGACAATTCAATAATGTCTTGTTCAATAATTCATTATCATGCTTATAAATCAAAACTCTTTTTATTTGTCTACCTGCCAAGAAAAAATAATTAAATGCATTCTTTATGCTTAAATTTAAAAATATTTATAATAAATAAAATCGCTATATTAAAATAAGTTTTTGCCCTTTTTGAATATTTAATTTAATTTGAATATCAGATATATACATAATTCCAGGCAATAGGAAATAATAATAAGCATATTTTTTATTAAAATAAAATTGTTTTAAAATTAATTTATTTGAATGCTCATTATAATTTAAGTCATTGCACCGTTATTGAAAATAAGAAAACTGATCTATAAAGTTTATCTTAATGTCTTATTGAATTACATGACTCACATTTGAACATGATAAAATCCAAGAATTTCTCAAAGTGTGAAATATTTAAAGCTTGACGTGTAAAATTGCTTTGAACTTGAAGAATATAAAATGCACAATGCCGAAGAAAGTATCTTCTTCAAACTTTTCATTGACTTAATACTTGATGCTTTTTCCCCAATAATAAACTTCAATGAGTATTCAACTATTTACAGGTATTTATAAATACCAATGACTGCCAAATGCTTAAAATTCCATTATATAATTATATTGGGTATAATTATAAATAAAAACAATAAAAAATTAAAATTTCCAACTCGTGTTTGAATGTTGAGGAGGAAAACAATTCAAAATACTTTTGAATGGACGTGAAAGTACATGGGGCAGTACATAAAATCTTTAAAATTAGTCTATAAGTTTTTATTGATTTCATTGTTCAAATTTTCATATAATAATGGAAATATTTCATTTGTACATTTACTAGCACATACTTTTAAAATCATGAAGTACTTAGAAGGGCATCATTAGGAAAGAAAGAATTAAATTTGCTTGATTCGACATGAAATTTATATGATAATAAGTGAGCCACTTAGAAAAAATTGAGTTATATCGATATTTGCAAATAAATATTTTTCTGTAATGTTATACATAAAATTTGGAATGATTATTTATGATAGAACACATCTTTAGTTCAAAATCAATTAAATAAATAACTTTTTTATTCATAAATTCAACACAAAATTCAAACCATTGTTTATATGTAGGTATTACTACATAAAATAAAAAAATGGGAAATGTAAAAACTTTACATACACTATATTTAAAAAATAATTTGAACTATATTTTTAAAATCGTAAGTTTGTAAGTTAACCAAAATTTGAAATTAAATTGGCACAAAATACGAAAATATTTGTCATACTAAAATAACTAATATTTTTGTTTCAAAGTATACATCTTATTAGATTTATTAACTTTTTGTAGAGTATTTATAATTGTTAATATCGAAAGTGAAAATTTTTGGATGTTTCAGGTTTTAAAGGTTTCTGTACATTTTGACATACCTTTAAAAAAAGATATACACGGATCAACCGATTTGAATGGTTAAAAAAATATTCGATTCCTATTGATAGGGAAATGTGCTGATTAGTAGAGAGATCTAAGCATCCGATTTGAATGACTTTGAATTCGAAAACTTTGTGCTTGTATTGACGAAACACTTTTGGGGAAATATTTTTGTTATTTTTTTTTTAATTTTCAAAAAATATTGTTTATACTAAATTTTGGTAAATTATGGCATTTGCCTTAAGGTACACCACTACTTAACATTTGTTTTAACTTTCTCTGGGTGATGAAAAAAATTATAGGCTTATACAAATTCTCTCAAAACTATGTTCAGAAAATATTATTATTCTGAGCCAATTTAAGAGATGACAAAAAATTGCTATAAATGTTAAACAAAGCAATTAGATGAGATATCAACTAAACAAAATGTTCAGTTTTGTTTATAAATGATTACAATTCCATATTTTCAACTTGTATTTCACAAGAATATTCACCGATATGCGAATTTGAACTTGTTTGTATACATTTTGACAAGTCGAACAATGATAAAAGATTTGATAATTCAAATGATATGCATTTTTCATAATATGAAATCATATCTTTGAATAAAATATAGATTTATTTAGCGTATGTCCTATATAGCATATGTCATCATGCGTGGTCAATTCTGTGCCATATGTGAAAAAAATGAATCCGCGTTTGCAATATCTGACATTGTGACGTCACACTGTCTAAATCTCTTCCAGGAAAAATGGTCATATATGTAAAAGTCGATAGGCAGAGGTTAATATATACTTGTATATATATATATATATATATATATATATATATATTTATATGTGTATATGTATTTTCTATGTATATTTGTGACGTGTATCTATTTACAATACCACTAATGATACGTTTTGCACATGTACGTACGCGTATCTGAAGAGAATCAAGGTATTTCACACATTACATAATTCATCGCTAACTTTTTGTTTAAATACCGATGTACTTATACAAAAGATTTATTCTGTTCATAGTCGGTGCATTGTGTGAACATCATCAAGCAAGTTGAACTCAATAAATAGGAAATAAATTCTTTCTTTGTTTTTGATTAAATAGTGCTTACGAGGATATAAGGATAATTTCAAGCAGATATTTTGTGTGAAAGTTGTGCTTTTCAAATTCAAGAACATTTTAGTAATAAATTAAACTAATAAAAAAGTTGCTAATATCTACTTCGGTTTTACTGCAATTTCTTGGATGCTACAAAATGAATTCTAAAATATTGTGTTTCATTATATTTCCACCTTTTTTCTGGCTAAAAGTCAACAAATAAATTACTACGGCAACTCAAGACTAATAAATCCTGGCCCATACAATTACCAGTATCCTCCT